GTAAATCTTCACCCAAATCAAAATAAAATTAAAAAAAAAAAAAAAGAGTTACTTATATTATTTAACTCCCCCCACCCCTGATTTTAAAGAAGGGACTGTATTTATTAGGAATTAATAAAGGAAAAGCTGTATGCTACAGAGAGGACAAAATGAGGGGTTAGAAAGTCTGGTTTCCAAATATAGCTCTAGTATTTTGTCTTAATCTTAGGCAAGTCGTTAACCCCTTAGAGCCCATTTCCTTATTTGTACAGCAGTGATATTAGTTACTGATTTACAGTGTTGTTTATTTCTTTAATGGCTAAGTGATAATAAGGAATCTCTGGGTAGTGAAAACGGTTAAGTACTCCACTACTAACCAGAGGTAGTCAGTTCCAATCCACCTAGTGAGTGGCACCTTGGAAGAAAGGCCTGGAGTTGTGCTTTTGAAAGACCCCATCCCTGAAAACTCTATGGAGCACAATTCTATTCTGCACACTTCTGTCGCCATGAGCTGGAAATGACTCAAACAGCAACCAGTTTTGTTTTGTTTTGTTTAAGGGATAATGTTGTTGTTATGTGCTGTTGAGTTGGACAGCGACCCCTCCTTAGGTTTCCAAGGCAGTATCACTACAGAAGTAGATTGCCCAACCTTCCTTCCGAGCAGTGGCTGGTGGGTTTGAACCTCCAGGCTTCTGGTTAGCAGTCAAGTGCCCTAGGCACTATGCTACCAGAGCTCCTTTAAGAGATAATAAGGACAGAGAAATGTCTGTGGAGACTGGTACTCTGGAATGAAATCACACTATGCGATGTTGTTGTCAGGTGCTGGCGAGTTGATTTGTAACTCACAGAGACTCTATATGACAGAGCAGAAGTGCAACGTAGAGTTTTCTAGGCTGCAGTCTTTATGGAAGCAGTTGGTCAGGTCTTTCTCCAGCAGAGTTGCTAGGTGGATTCAAACTGCCAGTCTTTCAGTTAGCCGCTGAGTGCTTAGCCACTGTGCCACCAGGGTTCCTCAGTGCGCAACGTACATCTTTCTGTGCTAACAGCCTTCCTTGTGTAACTCTGAATAAAAAATCTGAACAGGTGTAAAATATGGGCTTTTGTTTTCCCTTACAGTGGACATCAGTCTAACATCAATCATTTTGCTATAGAGACTATAATCCTATTCACTTATATATTCTAGAAAACACCAAACTATTATAAAAGTGTTACTTCTTATATTTAATCTAGTAGGATCAGAGACAAATTAATCACTAAGTCTAGAAATTCATTTTCATTTAGCCCTCTCCTGTACACAGTGAACATACCTGATGTGCCCCCAGTCTACACCTTCAAAAAAGGGATGACCTTTTATTTCTTCTACTCCACCATTTCCAATTCTATTTTCAGAATCAATACAAAACCTAAAACATGGCAAGAGAGAAATTATCAAAGCAATCTAAAGTATTCTATTAGGATTATTTGAAACATTGATCTTTTAAAAGATATATTTTATATTTTATAAATATATATATTTTTTTCTGTTTAGCATATTTTTTTCTGAAGTCAATTATAGGAAATATGGGATAAAATCAAAATCACTGATAACTGTAGTACTCAGAGATGACCACTGGAGATATTCTGACACATTTCCTTACAGTGTTTTATAATAATTTAAAAAATATTACATGGATGTAGTAGTTACTAATTTAAGGCTACTTTTTTAAATTTAATATACGTGAACATTTCCCAAACTCATTAAATATTTTTCTACAATTTCATTTTCAAAGTTTACCATATGGATATATGATTATTTAGCCAATCCACTTCTGTTGAGACAGTTTCCAATTTTTCCACTATTAAAAATAAACATTTTAGCTGAATCTTTACAAGTTTTTGATGATCTCTTTAGGTTTTTGATTATCTACAAATGGAATTGCTGGACAAAGGTCATGCACAATGTATACATTTTTGATAATATGCTTCCAACTGTCTGTTGCCACAGGTTGTCCCAGTTTACATTCCTTCCAGTCATTCTTGATAGTATAAAAAATTTCATCTTTAGTTAAGAACAGAATGGAATCTTTTATTTAGAAAAAGTTTCACATACAGACCTTCCTGATAGGGATTTCTACTACTAACAATTTCTGTTTTCTGTAACAGGATAAAACCAAAAAACCAAATTCACTGCCGTGGAGTCGGATCCGACTCATAGCAACCTCTCCTTGGGTTTCTGAGGTGGTATCACTATGGAAGTAGATTGCCCAATCTTCCTTTCGAGGAGTGGCTGGTGGGTTTAAACCACCAGCTTTTAATGCCTTAGGCACTATATTGCATTCTAAGAGGATGGACCTTTTGCTTTTAATATATATCAGTAACTAAAAAAATATAAGACTTCTTCCCTCTTTTTAACTCTTACTTTTTTTTGTTTACTTTCTTTTAGGAGTTTACATTTTTGAGAACACCTGTTCTTTACTGATTTCTTTGATTGTACAAATCAAGTTTATTTCTCCCAAAGTAAAATGGGCAATTTAGTCTTTTAGATACCTATGAAGTTTTGAGATACTCATGAACTCTTCTAGGGATTTAAATCACTAACCTTAGAATTAAATCCTTGGCTTTCTCAGATATAGGTACTTCTGGTGGAAATACCAATGTTTCTTTCCAGTTCATCACTTTTCTGTATGTTTCTTGAGGTGTTTCAGAGCAGAAAGGTGGATATCCTACATATGAGAGAAAACAAAGTTTTATCAGTTCTTCTCATCTAATACCTACTTCATATGTGCCACAAGAAACAAAACAACCTTGAGCACTCTTTAAAAATAAAAAGTCAACTCACAATAAAATTGGTAATAAGGTCAATCAAACAAAGGATTTAAAGCATCATCTCCCCCTTCAAAGTGAAAGGCCATGCAGATCCAATTTTGGTACATGGGTGGTTTGGATTAAATACCTTCCTTCTTAAAAGAGGATCCCTGGACAGCTCCTGAGTATTTATCGTTGTGTATTTACTTAACATTGGGAGATGTCAGAATTTGGTTTTAAAGAGTTCAGATACTTTAGCTTATAAGATCTGTAATATGTTCAATCAGTGGCACTCAAGGACCTTATATATTGTGTACATGAATTAATATTAAAACATACCTATTAGCATTTCATACATAATCACTCCCAAAGACCACCAGTCACACAATTTGTTGTAACCAGTCTGCATGAACACTTCTGGAGCAATGTAATCTGGTGTCCCAACTGTGGAATACGCCTGCAAAGGAGAAGCTTGTCAAGCCAGAATTCTTAACTATTTTTTGTTTTTTTAAAGATGAGCATGGCTCACTATTGGAAAAAACCAGTATACAGAGAAGTGAATTTTCTCATTTACTGTATTTTTTTTTGCATGTTTATCATGTATAAGGGTCAGTGATAAGTACTGAATCAGACAAAATATGACATGATTTCTGCCCCTCCACCTCCATCCCAAGAAGCTCACCTAAACTGTCTTTATATTTAGTCCAAAATCTATTTCAAAAAGAATGAAAAGGCTTCCTCGCTTGGCCTGGCTTCCCTACTTACTATTTGTGAGTTCTACAGCAAGTTATTCAATCTCTTTGAATCTCAGCTTCTGATTTCATTAAACTGAAATTATACCTGCCCTAAAAAAGGCTGATTTGAGGACCAAACAAGAAATGTGCTTTGTAAACTATGAACTGCTGCATAAACACCACGTATTCTAACTACAAATTTAACTCCAGGGCATGCTTTGGTACAAACGGTTAATGCGTTAATGTGCTCAGCTGCTACCTGGAAGGACGGAGAGTCACGGCCAACCAGAGGTGCCCCAGCAGACAGGGGTGGTGATCTGCTTCGGAAAATGCAGCCACTAAAAACCCAGTGCAGCACAGTTCTACTCTAACACACAGGGGTTGCCCTGAGCAGGAAACGACTCAATGGTAGTTGGCCTTTGGTTTATCTATCAGAAAACTATGTGGTTTTTCATTCTTAATTCATGCAAAATCTTACTAAACTATTCATTTAAGGCAGTAGTTTTCTACTAGAAGCAGTGCTCTAGGGACCATATGAAATGTGTGGCAGCAGATTTTGCCATTGAAATCATGGGAGAAGGTATAATTGGCATTTAAATGGGCAGAGAACGAAAGTGCTAAAGACCTGCTCTGCCCAAAATACTAAAACACATGCCCCGTGTATCCCCTGCCTGGGAGCTATTGATATAAGGCATGATTTTTGGCTATGAGAACAATAGAATATTCACATGATTACTAGCCTGTGAATGTTCTGGGATACAGATTCCCCTTAACATATTTTAAAAGTAGTATTTTTTCCCTTTAAAGTTAGGAAATACTGTGATTCTTTTCTCAATTGTAAAATCTCATCTAAAAGTGACACATTTAAAAGTAGAACAAGGTTTTCTTCTATAATGCATAGCTCAATACATTTTAAAAATGTTTTTTTAAACATTTAAAAACACGAATATTTTACAATCACAGGAAGCTTGTAATTACTCTGGCTAATAAGAGAATAAGCTCAAGAATCCACAGGTCGTTTTTGTTTATTTTAGAGGGTATCAGGGCACTATTTTTAGTCTATTTACTTTCCTGAGGGAAGGTTATATGAGTCTCCATTTCATAACTTGGTTGAATACAACAAATATATAGAGAGTGTACATACATTGTACAAAAAATTGGGAAAACAAAGTCAAAAAGCACAGTCCTAAAGCTTGAGATTGTTCTCTGACCTACTCACCAGGACAAAGGGAAAGGGGAAAGGAGGAAGCAATTCTTATATTTGCTGAGTAACAGAGGGGAAATAGTGTGGGGCTAAAAAGAAGCAGTGGAATTTCATATTAAAAGATGAATTAAGTTTATCTGTGGTAAAGTCTGCTTTCAAATTTTATTTTCTCTATTTATTATAATCTGTAGACATTCAAAACTTCCTGTCAACTTTGTCTATGAAGAATTTCTAGAAACATATAACCTCATTTACTGACTAATTTTTTGTTGTATCAGGATTTAACTACAGATATAACATGAAAAAACAGCAATCAGGAGTCATTCCCTACAATCACATTATTTTAGGGTGTTTTGCTCAATAAAATGCTAATTTAAAGATACATTGTTGCGGTGTAGTAAATTACTTAGTGTGGCTTTTCTACCCATAAGTCTTTGTAAACTCCAAGGTGGGATTTTCTATGAGCAACTGAGGAGCTCCTGATTGCTGAAGTTGTCCACCTGGAGTATTTCTGTTGGGTGTGGCACAAAACAATGTTCTGGGAGGTGCCCACTCTCTCTCAAGGTGCTTAGAGTTCTGATGCTATGATTTGCTAGTTTGACCACCCTGCCGGGCTCAAAATGAGGTCTCCTGGAGGCAGAACTCTCTCTGACTGCTGGTTGAGGAAGACGTGCTGCCGAAAGAGACACGGGCTTCTGAGACACGTGTTGCTGGGAAAGAGACGCAAGAGACATGCATCGCTGAGTGAGACACCAAGGGACCAGCACTGCTGGGAAAGAGACTGTGAGAGACTGTTGGCTGAGGGACGGTGGGGTGGGAGAGAGACTGAGTGTTCTTCCTGAACTTGAGTTGTAGCCTGGTGCTTCTCTAATAAACCCTGTAATTCGTGAGTTCTGTGTGGCCACTGCAGCGAATTATCGAACCCAGGAGAGAGGTGGTGGGTGCTTTGGGAGGAACGGTTGGAAAAAGGGCTGGAGGGAGGCAGCATGTCTGGCCTTGTAGGAATAGGCCTTGGGTTACTGCTGGTAATCCTGTCTTCCTCTTGTAGGATTAGAGGAGGTCAGAACATGTGGCCTCCTTGCTGTTTTAGAATTGTGAAGTAAAAGTCAGCATTGTACTTTACAGACAGAAACACTTTACAGAGACTCTAAGAGAAGTGTTCATTCCATAACAAGCTCTACCTTTGCCATGAAGTAAAAACTGATCATTGTGAAAACACAAAATAATCAAATAAAATTCAAATGTGAATTTAGGTCCAGGGCACAAAATTATTTCTCAAAAACATGACCAACTCACCAGCTGTCTCCTGTTCTTCTTCCATGTTTCTGCTTTTCTCTTTGAGTTCATGTTCTGAAATGCTAATTTCAACAAGATGGAATTGTAATTGTGAAGGAAAAACTCTCACAAAAAAATAAATTCACACATACACATTTAAAACACATTGTTTGAAAGACAGAGGAAAGGAAGGGAGAGAATCTTTAGGTCTCCAAAGTATTGAATTAAACCAATTACCATATTTCAACCAGAAAAACATCAAACTTACAGAAGTCACTTGGTGGATTATGTGTGAGGTTTCTGTAAAATTCAGTCCTGTGAGCTTTCTTTAATCCTGTGCATAAGCCAAAATCAGATAATTTTACATGACCCTGAAAAAAAAAATATTCCAGTAAAACCAAGAGAGTATATTAACTTTGAAAACAAAAAGCCTGACTATAAACTCCTCTCTTGAATGTGATTGTTGTAAAATTTCTTAGCTTATGATTCATAGAGGTGAAAATGTTAAATTATAAATATTTGATGATGATGACTTTAAAAAGCAGAAAATGAGGAGATAAAAAGTCAGCCAAATTTCCTTGATGTCATTTCATTCCAGAGTTCTCTCCTAGTACAACATTCTATAAAATAATGTAGTTTAGCAATTGCCCAAACAGAAAATCAGTTTATTGTAAAATAATCAGTAAGTTACTAATTCACCGCTTTATTCACATGCCTTGGCATCCAGTAAAAGGTTGTCTGGTTTGATATCCCGATGGATGAAACCCAACTGGTGGATTGCATCTATTGCCAGAACAGTTTCTGAAATGTAGAACTGCGTTTCCTCTTCTGTCAAAGTATCTTTCTTCATCAGCAATGTCATCATGTCACCTAAATGAAGAAAAGCAACTATCCATGTTATTGAAAATACCTTGTAAAAGCTTTCTTTGTATATACGCAATGTATGCCTGATTTTGCATTTTATAATCCATCCAGTATATCTCTAACTATCTACACATTCAAATAAAATGCCATCACATAAGTAAAACTTTCATGATATTTAATGATTCTAAAGTAGGAGCTCTGGTAGTATAGTGCCTAAGGCACTTGACTGCTAACCAGAGCGCTGGCAGTTCAAACCCACCAGCCATTCCTTGGAAGGAAGGTTGGGCAATCTACTTCCATAGTGATACCACTTCGGAAACCCAAGCAGGGGTCACTATGAGGCAGGGCCAACTCGACAGCACATAACAACAACATATATATACATTCTTTATCCTCTATTCCCAGTTCTATTTCCCTTTACAGAATGACTATTACCATAGATTTGGTTTAGTTTGTCTCTTTCCAGTTTAATTTTAAAATATATTTTTCTATACACATATATACTAATCTATGGAAGCTCTGGTGGCATAGTGCCTAAGGCATGTGACTGCTAACCAGCAGGCTAGCGGTTCAAACCCACCAGCCACTCCTCAGAAACCCAAGAAGGGGTCGCTATTAAGTTGGAATCAACTCGATAGCAGTGAGTTTTTTGGTTTTTTACTAATCTACGAGCTCTGGTAGCATAGTGCCTAAGGCACTTGACTACTAACCAGACGGCTGGCGGTTCAAACCCACTAGCCACTCCTCGGAAGGAAGGTTGGGCAATCCTACTTCCGTAGTGATACTGCCTCAGAAACCCAAGGAGGGGTCGCTATGAGTCAGGTCTGACTCAACGGCACATAACAACAACAACAACACACATGTAATCTTCTGTTTTTAAAAAATTACACAAATGGTATCAAACTAAATCTATAATTCTACAGCTTGCTTTATTCACCCTACTTGGTATTTCTGAGACCTTCCTGTTAACTAGGCTTGTGACTTTTAACTGCTGTAAAATATTTCATTATATAATTAATTATGCTACATTATATTCATCCATTCTTCTTCTGATGGGCATTTATGCTGCATCCAATATTTCACTATTACAGCAACGTGGCAATGAGCATTCTTTTACAATCTCTGGAGCACGTATGAAGAAGGTTCACTAGGGAATACTGCTAGCTGTGGAACTGTTGGATAGTAGTACACCTACTGGATATTGCAAAACTGCTCTCTGTAAGCATTAGAGATCAATTTACATGTATGGCTCCCATAGGCTCCCCAATACTCAATATTGTTAAACTTTTAACTTTTGTGTGTGCTAACTTACGAGTGAAAACTGGTATCTCATTCTTGTTTAAATTTGTATTTCCCTGAATATGAACGAAGTTGAACATTTTCCTATGTTCACAGACTAGCTAGACTTTCCCTTTTGTCCACTGTCTATCATTTGCCCATTTTTTATTGGGTTGTTTACCTTTTTCTTTGTTGATGAGTTGTTTTTAATTCCAGACTTGTAACAATCTAATGATATACAGTGAATCCAGAATGGTAGTATTTATAATGTGCCAACTTCATCATTCCTTCAAAATAATCTGCTTTTTCTCAAAATGGATTACCATGGAAGGGCATACTGATAAACAGTGAATGACTATGAAACCTCAGAGCTAGGAAAATAAAACTACTCAAGAAAATTATTAGACACCTAAAGATGTGCTAGTGTCAATCTGTCATTGCTATTACATTTACTTTACCTCCAGGGAGAAATTCCATGATTAGATAAAGGTTCCTCTTATCCTGAAAACTATAAAACATCTTCACGACCCAGGCACCATCTGCTTCTACCAAAATATCTCTTTCTGCTCGGATATGAGCCACCTAGATGAATACATTTTGAAGAAATAATTGTAACACATTATACGTTTTTCAAACTTACCTCTTACAATATCCATCCAGTCCCTTAATTCTCATGAAGGAAAGCTGGAGTTTTACAAGATACATGATGTGAAACACATATGTATGTTCATATTCTCTTAAATATGGAGAAACTCAAGAAAACAGTTTTAGCTCATATCTTTAGGCTAGAAAATGTGGATCTACAGATATATTATGAAAAGCTGAGGGCTTTGAGATAAGACAATGATTAGCCTAAGAACCTTCTTACCAGACTCTCCCTTTATGAAAGATCCTGGCTTGTCATGACAAAGCTAGAATCCTTAGCAAACCATTTCTAACTGTTACTAGTCAAAAAAAGGTCCCCTGGCTTGAGTTTTACCTGTTTAGTTCACTTTTAAAGAAACAGAAACTTTCCTGTTATGTTTACAAAATATTAAGTATTATACTGTAAAAATTTTAATTATAAAATGTTCTATGAACTACAAAAAAAAAATCAATGTTAACTTTCTATAGGTTTCACCATTTTTGTCAGAACACAATTGCGATTCAAACCCAACAGATGCTCCATAGATAAAAGATGTGGCAGTCTGCCACATATCTCCTTGAGGACTAAGGTGCGCCTGACACAAGCCATGATATTTCCAATCGCCTTGTATGCATGTGAGAGCTGGACAATGAATAAGGAAGACTGAAGAAGAGTTGATGCTTTTGAGTTGTGGTGCTGGCGAAGAATGCTGAAAGTACCAT